GGTGTTCACCCTGTGGGAGCGCACTGACCACCAGGGGGCAGCTCCTGCATCGAGCGTCTACCCCCTGGTGATCAGTGCACGTCATAGTGACTGGTTGTTCCACCATTGGTCCAAAACCAGCTCTCCGATATCCCCCAAGGGTCCTGGATTGTGAGAGGGTGCAGGCCAGGCGGAGGGACTCCACCGGTACATGATCGAGACCGGGGAGGGACGCGGGAGGTTGGCCAGCCGGGGAAGGACCGTGGAAGGGCTCCAGGGCGTGTCTGGCCTATCTCACTCAGTACCAATCGGCTGGACCCCAGCAGCAAGCTGACCTACCGATCGGAGCATCTGCCCCCCCCAGTGGTCAGTGCACATCACAGTGACTGGTTGACCGGTTGACTGTCTGCCCCCTGGTGGTCAGTGCATGTTATAGCGAGCAGTTGAGTGGCCTTAGCATATCATTAGCATATTACGGTTTGATTGGTTGAACGGCTGACCGAACGACCAGACACTTAGCATATTAGGCTTTGATTATATAGGATTACTTGACAGTGGATAACTAATAAAAAAAGCATGATACTACGAATAAAATAGCTTTTCTCAACATTTTCACAATATCATCATAAAACAAAATGGAGGAACGGTTCTGTAACAGCTCGTCCTTCTGCATAGGTTCAGGCAGCCTATGGAAAGGTACCTGTATGGTTTGAACCATCCTGTTGGTGAGTTCCAGGGCAGCCATGGCTGTCGAGGTGCCAAAGGAGGCAGCGCCCCTCTGAAACCCTCTGACGATGCGGCCATCCTTCCGGTACTGCTCTATTGGCAACCAGACCAAGTCCTTCAGGCCTTGCACTAGAACAAGTCAACACGGAGAGGTCAACAGTGGTGCTGGAGCTCAGGTCTCGGCTCCATTCCAACCTGGGGTTTTTAACCCCTGAAATGGGAAGCACAATTTCATGTATATGACTGCAAATGTAGGTTTTCTAGAAAGATGGTTCTGACACAGACTCTCAATGGCATCCATAACCCAAAAGGGGTGAAGAACCACTGATGAGGTAAAATAACTTATCTTCTGATTAAAAAAGAAAACTCACCTAATTGTACTAGTGAGTGCATAGGCCCAACACCTCCCAGGATTCCTGGTAGCTGGTTCTTCTTAATGTCAGTAAGCCATTCAGTGATTGCATAGGAGAATAATTTGTCAACACCTAGCAAACTAAGCAAATGACTGTTAGTATATAAGAAGGAGAAAGATGTATAGCTTTAGATATGTCTGGGGAATTTTTGACTTAAGATAAAAGAAAACTGACTACAGCTTAAGGATAAAATATTATAGATGTTCAATCTGATTATATACATACATATAAATATAAATAAATGTGTGTGTATATATATATCCCAGTTGTGATGTTAATAATTTCTAACAAGGCTTAGGTAATGTGTATAAGTATGTTTTAACACTGCTCTTATTTCTTGAACATCTAAAGCTCTGGCATAGGATTAACTCAATGTCTACAAATTGCCACAGTTCTTAGCTACTTAGTGAACTTCCCGATTTCACTAAATAAGCTGATTTACAACTTTGGGAAATTATTACAAATAATCATAACGATAGCTGTTTTTGAAAAATACTACTCTGTTCCAATTATTTCTACTTTCTCTGAATAAAACCTAGCCCTGGTCAGTAAGGATCCTCTGAAACTAAGCTGTCTGCAAACAGTGCTGTCCATGACTAAGGTGTGCATGCTTGCTGAGAAAACCCCACTTGTATCTGTTGTACTAACATCAGCGACCACAGCGTAAGGTCTCCCTAATGAACGGCTCACCCTGCCGATAGAAGAGCCTCTTCAGCTTCAGTTCAGAGCAGTTCAACTGGGCCAGACCAATCAAGATCCCAGCTAGTGTGCCCTTAAAAAAAATAAAGGCCACATTAGTCTGTAAATTGAGAGACTCGTCATTTAAAATAGTTATTGTCTGGGAAAGTCAAAGCAATATTCACTAAGGAAGCTAAAACAAAATACAGCAAAACAACACATATTTTATAATAGGTAGGACCCAATTTATATCAAATTTTACTCATGGGGTCTTAAGCAAATGGTATTCAATTTACTTTAAAAACAATTACACCTTAAAATCTTGCACTTTCATATATAAAACTATGACAAAAAATTATTTTTTTAAAAATTGAGTCCATTAGAAAAACAAATGAGATAATTTTGTGGAGAGTATATTTATACAAAATTTCCAAACCTGATCCATTGATACATGTTTGCCATGATAGTCAAGCCGAATAGGAACTTCTGATGTGAATCTGAACTCACCTGATCCATTGATACGTGTTTGCCATGATAATCAAGCCGAATAGGAACTTCTGATGTGAATCTGAATTCTCTGAAGATAAAGGAAGAAAGAGATATTTATATTCAAGTTACTAGTAGTTGAAATTAGCTATAAATTAATTTGTTCAACTGGAGAATAAAAACAAAACCACAAAATGAATAAAAGAGAATGACTTTTAGCATTATATTTTCTTATAACATAACTAACCCAAATGTTAATAATCTTATAAATTTTATTTATTTTATTATATTTAAAATTTCTCACAAAAAAACTTTTCCTAGTTTAATAGTGTTCATCTTAAAAAAATGTATTCGGGCAGATATTTCTCAGTTATATAGGATGCAATTACGGGCAAGTCACGTTACCTCTTTGAGTCTAAATGTCTTTGTAAATAAATTTTTAAAATGCCGCCTACACTGGTGAATTTTAGTGAGCGTTCCTGAGATTAATGCTTGTAAGCAGGATATCGGAATGCAAATATTGGGAATTCTTTGATAGAATTACACACTGATGGCACACATCAAACACAAGGAGCTTGCAAAGGCTGAACTGCAAGCGGACACTGGAAACATGTGTTCTACAGAATCAGTGTTGGTGATTATATCCTAAGCCATCCCACAGAGACCACTTAACCTCCGTAAAATGAAAATGCTGTATTCAGGTCATCACCACAAGGACATCTCCCGTCTTCTGAATACTATCTCCATTTGGTTCTCTGGGCAACAGCCCCTCAACACCTGCCTCTTCCTTTCTTACGTTTTTTCTCCATGGCACAAAATAGCATCCTTTGGTTATTTTTAAGTTCATTTAAATAGGGATTTTTCTCTACTCTGTTCACTGTGCCTAGAATAAAATGTGGCATATATATAGCAAATGTTCAACAAGTATTTGTTGAATAAGTAAATGTTGAATAAATGTTGGGGAGAACTTATTAGACCAGTGGTTCTCAACCTGTGGGTCGCGACCCCTTTGGCAGTTGAAGGACCCTTTCACAGGGGTCGCCTAAGACCATCCTGCATATCAGATATTCACATTACGATTCATAACAGTAGCAATATTACAGTTATGAAGTAGCCATGAAAATAATTTTATGGTTGGGTCACAACATGAGGAACTAACTGTATTTAAAGGGCCAGAAGGTTGAGAACCACTGCTCTAGGAGCTTTTGAGAATAGAAATAGAAACCTATAAGCTATTTGACAGTCTAATGGAAAAACAAACATTTACTGGGTAAGTAAGGCTACTTACTATACTGCAGGAAGCCACTGCTTTCCAATACTATCATGAAAGTGCACCATGGAACAAAGAAGGCTGATGGACCTTGAGCATTAGCAGGACTGACGCTAAGCACCGATTGTTCATGCTGAGATAGTGGTGGTTTGAAGCAATTTCCTGACCTGATAGCCTCCAAGTAAATGTTTACTGGACCTTACTAATCTTTACTGACCTTAGAGACGGTCTGTCTGCTACCTGTTTGCCGTGCTTTACTGAGGGCAAGATGTGTATCTAAAACTGAATAAAAAGCGGATAAGCCCAGGTCTCAGTGTGTCTCTTCAAGAAAGAGGCTCCACCTGGCCCCCAATGCCTTCTAAATTCATATTTCTTGTATAGGATTTTCATTTGTGCGTCGGCCCCTTCTGAACCCCGCCATGAAGGTCGAGGCATCTGGTGCCATGAACAGGGACTGGAGGAGAAGATTCGCCTGAGCGAAAAACGAAGTGAAAAAGGAAAAGTGGAAATTCACTGGAAAGGTGGGAAGTTCACCGCGCACAAAGCCCATGCCAGCTTCGGAGTTGCGACTGTAAGTGGATGGGGACGTTTTTAATCAGCCAGGTTATAATGGGGAAGAATTCGAGTAAAAGGCAAAAACATCATTGTACATTTTTAGCTTGCATGCTCAAGGATAAAGGAATTAAGGTGTCAAAAGGTCCTCTCTTAAATCAGGCTCAAGGAAAACGAGTGCCCTTGTCATCTTTAACTATGTGGGCTCTTGTTTGACTGCATTATGCCCACTTCGTATTGGGGATCAACAGTCTGTCACACCTAAGGGCCTGGATCCTCCGCCTCTAGTGTGGGAAGGCTCCACAGCTGGAGAAAATGGGCTAACAGTCCTTTCACAAAAGGACTCCTTAATGCTCTGTCTGAAAATTACCATCTGACGCCTTGGGACTGGCAGGTTTTAGCTAAAACTTTAGACGCCAGTCAGTGCTGTGGAGAGCAGGATAGGGTGAGATCTGTGAACAACAGGCTGAGGTCTAGGCCGCATTCTGGCTGTAAGTCCCAGGCCATATGAAACATCGGAAAGATCCATAAAAAGAACTGATTTATTAAGTCTTGTCTATGTGTTATGCGTGCTTGTAAATATCGTATATATGAGTGTCTGTTAATTGTTGTTTTAACTGTCTTTGTTGTTCGGTTTAATTTGTTTATTGTTAGTCTATTAAGCATGCCTTTAATTATTTTAATAGAAAAGAAACAGTAAATGGCTAGGCCATTACTAAATTTCCCCAGAGCAAACAGGATGTGGGGGTGGGGAGAGAGAATATGAGCAGTACACGTGGCCATAACACAGGTCCTAGGAAAATTCCATAGACAAAGGGAGGCAACTAAAGAAGGCCCCAGCCACTAATTACTAGTCTCTTAGTGATCCTGTAAAATGGACGCCCGCTCTCGGGAGTGTTCTTAAAAGTCCCATTTTTGTCATGTTTTTGTTTCCCAGTCCCTCATTTGAAATTTGAATAAATAAGCCATTTCTCACAGTTTGGAGACTTCTATACCCATGAAGAGAAAAAGGCTAGCTTAAGAGAAGGCTCACCCCGCCGGATTTTGGGTGGCCTCTGGGCCTAAGCCCATCTCTTCACGATGCTATAGAACAGGCCGCAGACTGTTTTCCTTTGGGAGATGGTGAAAATGACACAAGGAAAATATACAGGCTGGGTTTGGGCAACAAAATTAGTGTTTCCATAATTATGGGTAATTCTTGAATAATAATAGACCACATTCTAAGGTTGCCTCCAGGTCCTGGGGGCACTTCTGTTTTTATAAAGAAAAATAAAATAAAATAATACTTTAACATTAAAGCAACTGAAAGCCCGTAAGTTATCTCTGTTACAGAATTTGCCAAGGAAAATGCTTTGGGTAATAATTGGCTTTAAAATCTCAAAGTTGTTAAGGCAAAATATATATAACTAAAATGAAGAGTATATGGTGAAAAATCTTTTTCAGCGGTAATTACATATTTGTGCGTCGGCCCCTCCTTCAGATCCTGAACCCCGCCGCAAAGGTCACAGACTATACAAGCTAAAAAGTGTCAAATTTCATTGCTTTCAGTCCAGAATTTTAACAACTCAATTTCTTTTACATCAGTTATCCAGTATTCACAAAAACAAAGCTGATAGTTTACATGTGATTCATATAAAATGAGAATTCAATTTATTACTTAGAATACACAATTTTTGGTAGAAAAGGTTTTTTAAAAGATCGATGTGGGAAAATAACAAGTGAGGTCATTCTTTTGTGGTGGGAAGGTTTGGAATCAACAGAGATCATCTATTCCTGGATCTTCCCAATCCTCATATTCCGTTTTTTTAATCTTTCAGCAGTATACATAATATTTAAAACAAAGTCTAATCTCAGAACTCAGAGGGAAAGAGAGTGTTTGGGGGCACTGATGCCGTGGGCGAGGAGCACAGAGAACCAGGGGAGGAAGCTCATTGTGCCTCACAACACAGGTGGGTTGGATCTTCACTCTTTTCCTTCCAACAGAGCCAGGCTCCTCCCTACCATCAAGGGTCAGGAAGGAAGGACGATGGGGAATGAATGGGTCAGGAAAGGAGGGACACACTCCATGTGCACAGCAGGGCAGTAGTCGGAGCAGACAGCAGCAGCACAGGGACCTGGGCTTCCTGGTCGTGCCAGCTTAGCCAGGGAGGGCAGGGACAGGAAAGACACAACAGTGATGGGGGAGGGCAGACAGAGAAACTAGACAGAAAATTCTCACAAGGAAAGGGGAGGAGTGTTGAAGTCGAGGTGAGTAAAGGAAAAGAGAAAAAAGGACAGCACTGTGTTTGAGAACCAAGAAGCCATTCAGTGACCAGAAAGAGGGACAGGAGAGGAAAAGAGGAAGCAGCTAGGAGGAAAAGGAGACTCCTGCTGCACAACCAAGAGAGAGATGAGCCTGAACCAGGTTACCACCTGTAAAATGGGAGATGGAGGTTGGTGGGACAGCGATAAACAAATACACAGTCTATGATCTGGCAGTGAGGAGAGAAGCTGATGCAACCTCATGACTACCCTACACAGCGTGTTAAAGAACCATCTTCACAACTCCAAAGAACTTTGTTATCAAAATTAAACGACTTACCTAAAAAACACAGGCTGGTCACTAAACGAGGCTTCTTCAGCCGCGAAGTCCTTCTCTTCCTCCCCGTTCGCCACTTCCGCTGAATTGGCACTGTCGTTTGGGGAAGGTGGCTTTGGCCCAGAGAAAGAAAGCACTAGACTTGGCTCCTTCAAGGTACTCAGGTGCCTTGGCACACTGCAGGTGACGTCAGCGCCGGGAGACTTCTTCACTGAAAGGGTAACGCGCACGTCGGGAACACTGGCTATGCTTCCGTAGAGCCCCATACATCAATCTAGCTTTAACTGGTTTTGCTACATTTCACTTAATGAACACAATTAACTGCAACAGAAAAATGACTTTCACCTTTTAAACGATTACTTTTACATAAATTACATTTGCATAATTTAATAAAAAATACACACAACTCATTTATATAAATGAAAATGAAAACTACATAAGTACATTCTCAAAAAGGCCTCATAACAGTCAATCCAAGTACTTGTTATAGACTTTTCAGCTACATGTTTAGTACCTTCTGGATCTGGAGCCATTAGAAGCTCTACTTCTGTAGAAAGACTTGTGAAGAAATCCTTCAGGAAGAACAAGGCATCCTAAAATTGAGAGATGTAGTTACAATATTTGGTAGCACACAAAAAATTTGGCAATTCCAAAGACTCTGACTGACTACAGATCACACTTGTAAGAAGTATAAATAACAAGTTAGGAGGGTGTTTTTCCAGGTAACACGGCAGATGGGACTGAAGAACAAGCAGTTGGTTCGACAGCACTGGAAATACACTCTGGTCTGCAGGAGGGTAGTGGGTTCATGCCTTGCTCATTAGATTATGCATTACACTTACATATTTTACATATTATTTACATTACATATATTTATTACATATTACTATATATGTGTATGTCTCTAATCTCAAGTAGTAAAGTTAATAGTATATGAAATGTTATTCCTTGGCCACTAGGAGGAGATATTTTCAATGATATGTTTTTTTAAATATGCCTGCCTTCAAAAAGCAGAGAAAATTAATAAATGTGCTCTTAAAAAAATGAAGACTAAGAGACAGTGATTTACCCATTTTTACTACAAATGCACAAAACACCAGACAAAGGGATACTAATCAAGTCAGAATTTTTTTTTGTTTTGTTATTTATGCTAAACTCTCTAAAATTCATAAGTCAAACAACCCAATTTTGAAACTAGCAACACAGGCCCAGGCCAGGTGGCTCAGTTGGTTGGAGTGTTGTCCCATGCACCAAAAGGGTCGCGGGTTCAACTCCCAGTCAGGGCACATACCTAGGTTGCGGGTTTGATCTCCGGTTGGGGCATGTACAGGAAGCAACCGATTGTTGTTTCTCTCTCACATCGATAGTTCTCTCTCTCTTTCTTTCTAAAGATCAATAAAGACATATCCTCGGATGAGAATTAAAATTTTAAAAAAACTAGCAACACAAAGATTTACAGTGGTTGTACCATGTAAACCAGTAAGTAAATGAGGAAACAAACTGTGGAATACCCATACAACGAAATACTAATCAGCAATAAAAATGAACAGACTGCTATATACATGGTAGCACACAGCCTACATGAATCTCACGGACACAATGTTGGAGAGGAAGCCAGATACAATTCCACTGACACGAAGCTGTGGAAAGGTAGCTGATCTGTGGTGGTGTAAATGAAGTCAGTGGTTGCTTTGGAGTGGTGGAGACTGACTACAAAGGGACATGAGTGGACTTTGTAGGGCACAGAAAATGTTTTATATTTCAATTGGTGTCGTAGTTACTCAAGTGTATATTTGTCAAGCTCTGTGCATTTATTATACGCAATACTTCAAAACAATCAATTTTTTAAACTTAAAAATTTGGTTTTTTATGTATGCTACACTTGAACTACAAAATATTTATTTCTAGCATTAAGGTCGTATGATAGAAGATATTAATAGTGCAATATGACCACGTGTTAAAAAATTACTTTTCAGGTCGTACTCGGGCAATTAAGCAATGATGCTGAAAAACCACAAATGTGCACGCAAACTGGTCCTGCCACATATTCAGCATCGCCAGCCTCAGCTGGGCATTTACTTATCCTTCCCCAATGGCCTTACCTCTCCTCTCAGATCCTGAACTAGGCTCTCATGCTTTCACAAAGATCTTAATGTGGCTGACTCCACTGCATTCCTTAAGGCCCACACAAATGTCCCCTCCCCCAGACAGCCTTTCCTGATCACCTCTCACTCTTCTAACCGCACCCCCCACACACCTGGCCTTGGAGCCCTCTGCTGGTGGGGAACCTCACCCTAAGCCCACCCTTATCACTTGTAGTCCCCATAGGTGTTAAGTCATAGTTTATGTTGGTCTCGCCACACCACACAGAGACCTTTGGGAATAAAATGTTTATTCATCTTTGTACCCCCGGCATCCTAGTACAGAACCTGGGACGTGGCTGGCATTCAGCAAATGACTTGGAATTAATTAGCATATCTTCCTCACACAGATTTCCAGGTGGTATATACTAAAATGAATACTAGACTAGGAGTCAGGAAATCTGGCCCCTTCATATTTTGGACCTCAAACTGCCTAGTTCTATAACCTTCATCATCTATTCACCCCCCCTAGACGGAGATCACCCCATCCGCCTAGCTTTCTGCCTACCCCATGGGCACACTGAACTTTGGAGGCAATTGCATGGAACTCCATCAGCAATGCAGCTTTTTATTTTTATTTTGTTAATATATTTTTATTGATTTCAGAGAGGAAGGGAGAGGGAGAGAGAGATAGAAACATCAATGATGAGAGAGAATCATTGATCAGTTGCCTCCTGCATGCCCCACACTGGGGATCAAGCCTGCAACCTGGGCATGTGCCCTTGACCAGAATCGAACCTGGGATCCTTCAGTCCACAGGCCGACACTCTATCCTCTGAGCCAAACCAGCTAGGGCAGCGATGCAGCTTTTTAAAAACATGAGAAAACAATGTGTTGCTTTCATACTTACTATCTATGAGTCAGTGAAGAAAAATAAAAGAGAGATATGCTTGGTAAGAAAAATATTACTCAAAGCATTATCATTCATCAACTGATTTGCTTTCAAAAGGAAAAATGAAGAACACAAATATTTGGTTTTCTAATCAGACGACCACTTGCTATCTCAAAATACGGTGTATCAATCTTAGAAGCTGCAAACCAGGAAGGTTTTTTAATCAATAACATACCCCCTGAGGCTGACATATTTGTAGCATGGCTTTGTTTCCCAGGCTTCAGAGCGGGGGACTTATTCCCCATTCCTCCTCAGCTTAGTCACATCATTTATTTCCCTGACTGTCTTCTCTAAGATTAACATTTTCCCACTTTAAAATCATAATGCATTTCAGTTCTAAAGAAGAAATTAAGCTCAATATTAAAGAGAAAAGTCTATTAAAGAAAATTGGGCTTGCTAAGTCTGGTGAAGTCGTGCCATAAAGATTTACCTTGCTCAAATCTGTGCTCACATGTGATTTCCACAGATGAAATTTCCCATAAATACTTCATCATATTCCTACTAGGACAATGTATGGATAAGTTAAATTAAAATATGGGTACCAAGAGGTATTATTCTCATAATGAGAAAGCATAAATCTAAAGTTCTCCTTGGTAGGTCTGACCCAGCTTGGAAGCTACAAATATTAATGAAAAGTTGTGCTAAACATCTGTTTCACATATTCTCTAAGATATGTATATATTTTCTTTACAATATAAATATTATTTAAGCTTATTCCTAAATACATTACTTATTTAAATTAAAAAATCAACATTACTCAGTCAATATTAAGTGAACAAATAATGCTACCATCCCACACATACTCTACATTCAAACCTGAGCTCACCCCAATACAAGGTATAAAAGGAGGGTTTGGCTAAGTGGATAGATCGTCGAGCTGTGGACTGAAGGGTCCTGGGTTCAATTCTGGTCCATGGTACATGCCCAGATTGTGGGTTCAATCCCCAGTGTGTGGTGTGCAGGAGGCAGCTGATCAATGATTCTCTCTCATCATTGATGTTTCTATCTCTCCCTCTCCCTGTCTCTCTGAAATAAAACACACATACACACACATTAAAAAAATAAAATAAAATAAAAGGAGGGTTTGTTGGTAAGATTCTTTTTAAAGCCCCATTTATTTTCTTCAGTCGTTATATGATCTTTAACATTCTGTGCCAGGCACCAAGCGAAGCATTTGACATACACTAGTCTCATTTAATCCTCTTTGTTTAAAAAATGATGCTATATGTATTACTTTAATTTTATTAATGAAGAAACTGAGGCTTGGATAAGTTAAGTAACTTAGCCAACGCCACACAACAGGTAAAAGAGAGCTCAGATTTAAACCCAGGTCTGACTCCAACCCTATGCTCGTCACCACTACACTGCACCACTACAAAGCATCATATTGTCGTATACCTTGAATAAAGTCTGCAGAAGAGGCACCAACTATGTTTTTAACAGCAATTCGGCCCAAAGCAAAACCTAGAATAACTTGATGGGATGCTTGTTGGAATATGGGAAACAGGATTTATGTCTTTCCATGAATCTCTGTTGTCTGTGACCAGTTCAGGTGCCAATTTACTACGTTGTCATTTTACCCAGGGCAGAGGAACTGTCTTCCAGGTGCTGCGAGTAAGACTCAACCCTTTATATCCTTCAATCATATCTCAGGGCTTCCTTTAAGACTCTGAAAACACCTGCACATCTGGATGAGAAGTGTGTCCGTAAGAATGAGAATGAGAAGCAGGTTCAAGGGCTATGTCATGCAGACCCTGAGGAGGAGACTGGGATAACATCTAGAACGATTATACACCAACAGTTCAGATTCCAAAAGCCTAAGAAACCTGCCCTGCTCTTTACCAGCAGAAGTCTGTGTTAATTATCCAACTTTCGTAAAGGTTAAATAGTAAGCATTTGATTCTTAAGTCTCTCATTCCGAATGTGGATGTGTATTTCACCGCAGTCCCATGAGTTATGAGTGTAGTGCCTACCTGGTCGATATTGAGGCGAAGTGGCATCAGTGACACTCGTAAGCAGCACTCCTGAGGTGACCTGCCCGACTCTGGGCGCACGTGTAATGCTTTCACGGTCAACTACAAGACAAAAGGGAGAGAATATCCCCAATGATATTAAGACATTGGTCTCATTTAAAAAAACAACAACAAAGGAAAAGAACTGTATTCCTAGACCAGAAAGTGGAACTGTTTACCCTCTTTCCTTAAAGCCTGAATCAAACTTTTCTGGGTCACACACTCCCTCAAGAATCTGATGAAAGATATGGATGCTTTTTAGAGAGAAAAAAGCACATGGTGCTGCCGTGCAGTCTCAGGAGGCTACAGGCCCCGGAGCTAAGCCCAGTCGGTACTCCAGAGCCAGCTCCATGACGCTTTCACCCAGGAGTCCTCACTAATCATTTCTGCTCCACTATGCTTTTTAAAGTGTTAGAAATCTGAACCCTTCAAGCAATCCTAACTACTCTGTACAGATTGCTATGGACTTCCGGTTTCCCTCAGCTATCATCATGTTGACGAATTTAGTGAATGGACCTTAGAAGTGACAAGCAAAATAATTTTTAAACCATAAAACTTTAAGCAGCATATTTAAAAGGGGTTTTCATATTAAATTGGGTAAAGATACCTGGTAATTTTCCCCAATCTAAATCTTCTGCAGTTATCTATACAATAAAAGCCCAGGACCGTTAGGGTGGAATGACCAGAATGACCGGTCACTATGATGCGCACTGATCACCAGAGGGCAGATGCTCAATGCAGGAGCTGCCCCCTGGTGGTCAGTGCGCTCCCACAGTGAGAGCGCTGCCCAGCAAGAAGCTGGGCTCACGGCTGGTGAGCATAGCGGCGATGGCAGGAGCCTCCCCTGCTTCCACGGCAGCGCTATGGAGCGGTGAGCCAAGTGGTAAGAAACGGGCAGGCGGGCATTAAGGAGCGGGCGAACCAAGGGCAAGCCAAGTGGTAAGAACCGAGCAGGCGGGCGGTTAGGAGGGAGCAGGCGGGCAGTTAGGAGCAAGGGGTCAAACATCCCCCGAGGAGTCCCGGATTGCGAGAGGGCGCAGGCCGGCCCGAGGGCCCCCCGACCCCGCACAAATATCATGCATTGGGCCTCTAGTATATAATAAAAACACTTTCTAAACTTCAGATAACAAAAATATCAAGTTTCCAATCTTACCATGTTGGAATGAGCTTTGCGAGGCATTTCCTTGCTGCAATACAGGTACAAGAACTTGTTCATCTGTGACGTGGCCAGCCGGTCTCGAATCTCAAGGTCCTGCACGAGGAACACCTGCCGGGAAACTGGGTGCTCTAAGAGGCTGGGGTCGCACTCCGGCTTGCACGGTGGGTAGACCTCATGCTGAAACTTCACCTTCACAGACAGGAGAAGGAACACAGGGCCATCTTGACATTTTATTTAAATTAGATTTTCTCTTTGCAATGCAAAATATCACTCATCTCATTCTTTGAATTCTCAGCTTTCAATTCCACTTTCATGGAGTGTACTGTTCCTTCATTTATTTGCTCACTTAGGTACTGATCTGTATGTTCCCTACACACAAGGATAAGTTTGACTTGACATTTCTTATGAGATCTTGGCAAAATCCCCATCCTTCCCAAGCCAAACTCTCAAGAGGAATAAGACATACAATTACCCTCTTGTACTCATGAACTTGCCTGCAAAGGAATCAATGACAGCAGGTTCAAGTTCCAAAGTGGGCAAGGATACAATTAAACACATGGAATTGGCATCATTCTACCTCCACATTAAGCACCGTAATATATGACCCTCAGCACAATCCCAAACAAGCTGGCAGAATTAAATGCATATGAAGTCACTGGGGGCCTGGCCCCACGGTGTGGGTCCCGACGTCCAGAGGACCTGACGTGTGCTGCCCAACGCAGGCATCCCCAGACAGAGACTGCAGGCATGGCCCCCCGTGTGGTCCTGGGAAAGCAGGATCAGAATCCCCTGAGAACTCATTAAAAATACCTATTCAAGGGCCCTACCTCAGCTCTACCAAATCAGAGACTTTGGGGCCCAGCAGCTGTTTTAATAAGCCCTCACGGGGGTTCTCAGGCTTGCACATGGGGGGGCGGGGTGCACTAATGAGCCCTCGCTAATGCTCCCACTCCCGTGGAACTTTCCCTTCAAAATGCCATCTTACCTTGCTTAACTGTATTTCCATTAAAAAGTCATGGTTTCTTCCTTTGCCCCCACATACCATATTACGCCCATGTCTTGTGGGCGTGTGAGAAGGTGAACTGTGGGGACTACTATAATTGAAAAAGAAAAACCTTTTGTTACAGGAATATTCAAAGAAAGGTAATGAATAACCACAGAAAAATAACAAGCTGAACAGAGAGTAAGATACACAGCTGTCAGGAAGATCACACTGCCACACACTGTACGACTATAAATCAGCACAGCTTTCATACTTTGGAGACACTGCGAACATGCACTTTACTGTACTGCCCTGACTGCAATCGCCTGCTAGCTAAACAGGAAAACCTAACTATGATGCTGGCGTTCACATCACAGGACAGACTTGGAAATGAGACTTCCTTATAAGTTCCTGGTCACTTCAGAAACCCCTGACAGTTAGAGTACCAGTCCTAGAAATCCCAATGAATAGACAAAGAACTACAGTAAATTCACAAGTGTTTAAAAATTACTTTTAAATACAAACAGTCACTATGTTGTTGTGCCAAGGTTACCACCTCCTGATGCCTTTTCTCTCTCTGCCCCCCTCCCGCCCCACCATGAGCATGCCTGCCCGCTACCTGGTCCTCTATGCAGTTCTCTAGCTCAACCGAGTGATGCACCTGTTTAACAAGGACTTCGGGAGCATTGACGCCGCTGCGTGCCGGGCGGGGTGCTGGAGATTCAGGGGCGTGCATGGTCCCTACCTCCTGGTGCACACACTTCACTGCCCTCAGTTGCTCACACAACTCTCTCTCCATTTCAAACCCAGGGCAGGGTCGGGTCACACTCATTTTAGTGAATGTGCCCCTAATACAGGTTCTGGCACATGGTAGGTGCCCAAAAAATGTTGCTCACTGGAGAGCACTTAAGTCACCACATTTTAGTAAAAATACAAACACTGCACATAAGTTTACAAAATGGAAAACTCTAACACTACCATTTACAGAGTGATACAAATTGCAGATTTTTAATACTACTTTATTAATAATTCTTCAAACGATAATCCTGCCAAACAAACTTACATAGAAATGAATTTAACTTACATGTAACTTTTAGCTGGAGAAGTAGGAGGGGCTGTTCCAAAATCCTTTCCTCCATAAAGATGCCAAACAAGAGAGACTTCTTTAACAACATACCGGACGACGGGAACGGGGAAGTGCAAGGGGGCTCTGCTCGCATCTGTCTTCTTAACGGGCAGACTGAAGTAATTATCTCTTATCACAATTGCATCTTCAGCCATTATTTTTACAACTGGCTCTTCTTCCTTCTCCTGAAACACAGAAACAGGTAACACATACTATCTTAGCCGAGTAAAAATCACTGATTATGTTGCCTGTCTCAAAGGGATGTACTGATCTGCATCCTTTCTAGTGATTTTAATACATAAAACAGAATAATAGTCCTGACATTAATCATCACAGAAGATATTCTGCATTATTAGCCAAAAAGTGGATTCTCTGTTCTATGCAAAGTACTCCATAAGGATTTTTTATAACCTATAATTTGGCTTTTACTATGTGACTGGCAATAAAGAGGCAGGTGTGTGTGTGTGTGTGTGTGTGTGTGTGTGGTTCTTTAATTCAAAGTCAATACTGCATTCCAAATCTGACCTACTTCGACATCCTGACCAAATTATCATGTTCTTCATAATGAGGTTATCATGAATTTTATTGCTTTCACTTTTTTTTGTAATTCCCCAGAACTTAGTCAAATAAATGCACTCACCTACTAAGTTAGTACTAGGCAGTTTACAACATATATGCGCTAAATAGCGATGCATTTTCAATGGGGTTCAATTCTAGCACCAATGCTTAACCATTTTGGTTAGTGAACTGTGGATTCAGTAAAAGCAGCCCATGATTTTTAAATGTGAGTATGACTCTAAAATGGAAATTATATCAACCAACCACCAGCCTTCACACAAAGCACATCTGACCTCTCCCAGGTGTTGGACTAGCAACTCTGTGCAGCACCCCTTTCTGTCATGAAACTCCCCAGCCTTCCTACACATGACATCTGTAGTTCAATTAACTACGAAGGAGATTTTTGCAAATTAGAGCATTCTTCTGAGTCCTTGAGAGATGTGTCACAGAAATAGCAAAGCGTAACAAACATTTACATAGCATCAATGGTAAATTACAAAACAAAGTAATTCCGAACAATAAAAAGTTAAAATCTTAATCTTTTTGGGCCTTTGTTGATTTTTAGCGTTATCTTAAAGCCTCAATTATGCTACCAATTTATTACCTGAACGGTTGCCCTTGGTGCAAAGAGAATGCAAAAGTCATCGTTTTCAGTGGACACCCCTGGCACTGCGTCACTAATCAAGTGGGGGGTGAAGGAGGCATAAGTGGGGCCGGGCTCCTGGGACACATTCCCACTCTCATCTGGAAACAGGAAGAGGTCTGAACAACATGGCTCCTGAATGTGACATTTTTCATCCAAAACACCTAGGCAGAAAGATGACAGCGTTCAGTTTTGGCACATGCTGAAACATCAACAACAACATAACAAAAATAAGCATTTTAACCATGTGTCAGAGACGCAGTATGTTGAACGCTTTCACCTGCAAAATCTCACTTTTTTTCACAATTCCCCTCTGGCTGCTGACAAAAAGACTAAGAGTAAGTTTGAAGCTCCCTAAGAAAAGAGTAAACGATGGGCTCATGAAGTGCAGGCTGTCCGTGCTGGAGGAGCTCAGGAATTCGGCAGCAGCGGTTAGTGGTGACTGGAGTTTGGTTTTTGGTTTTAGCCAGAATCTCATATTGACAATCCTGTCCTGTGGGTAGAGCTCTGCAAGAAACCCATTCGACAATATAGCAGGAGCAGGGAAGCGAGTGTACCCAGCAACGTCACCTAAAACTACAGGAACTCTCTGCTCATGGAGGGTGGGAAACAGCAGTCAGGCAGGCCTCCAAGCCACAAACAGACGGCTTCTTGGGGTGCTGGATACCCACACAGGATATCTGTTCTCAGGTAGCTCTCGGTATGAAGTTCACAAAAGAGTGCACTTGCACCAAAATCTCTATGTAAACATACATTTTTATACGATTCATTTCATATTAGATTCGCCAAGTCTTTCTCTATTCAGTTATTCAAATCAATCATTTACTATGGACTGAGAACACTAAGATGGATAAAGGGACATTTAGCCTCTAGAGGCTCACAGACTAGACTTTAAATTCTTCTATGGCAGCATCTTGAACTTACACCTACTTGAGTGCCTAATACAGAACCTTGTATATTGAAGCTGCTGTCATTAAATACCCATTTCTACATAAGGTCAGCTGCTAACTTTTATTAGAAATGATGTGGTGCTAGGAAGCTGAGGGCTCCCATTTGCTTCCTTAGTTCTAATTTAGAATGAAAGCAACATTTAATACTAAAGTCTTAAAACATCATAAAGTAATTTTTAACAATTAAGAGTTCACAACATATAGAAATAGTTAAATTCATCCAATCAGAAAAAAAAATATTTTTCGGAGACATGCTTCAAAATGTTTAGATGCTTCCCATCTGGTTCCTCCTCCTTGCCTATCCAACTTTATTGTTTAACTAGAGGCCCGGTGCACAATATGTATGCACTGGAGGGGGGGGGGTCCCTCAGCCAAGCCTGCGCCCTCTCTCAGTCCGGGACCCCTCGAGGGTTGTCCGCCTGCTGCAGGGAGCGGGCCTAAGCTGGCAGGCAGACATCCCCCCAAGGGGTCCTTAGCACTGCCGCAGAGGCAGGAGAGGCTGCCGCCACCGCCACTGCACTCGCCAGCTGTGCCCGGCTTCTGGCTGAGTAGCGCACTCCCTATGGGAGTGCACTGACCACCAGGGGGCAGCTCCTGCATTGAGTGTCTGGCCCCTGGTGGTCAGTGTGCGTCATAGTGACCAGTCGTTCCACCGTTTGGTCGATTTGCATATTAGGGTTTTATTATATAGGATTCTTTTCAATAAGAGGGAACATTTGCTACATAATAGCCTGAGCTGCTAGGTAAGTGGGGCTCCCCCTGTCTTTGTCCGTGTCTCTTGATGTTAATGATCTTGCCAAGATACCTTCTCTCTCCCTTCGACATACCTAAGTCCTATCCACAGTTTGAAAGCCAACTCATCGCACTTTCACTGAAGTCTGATGCACTGATTCCAACCCGTTTCAAACAACATTTACAGTATGTAACACCCTCTGAGGTGTTTCTTCCCATGTTATCATTTCTGAACCACTCTGCCCAGTTTAGCGCCAGTTTGCTTTACTAACCTATAAGCTTCCAGGAAACATGGCTCTGCTTCCACTTGATCTGCATCCCCCACAGCATCCTCGTCGGTGTTATTTATCTACTAGACACTCAATAAACAAAGCTGACTGACTAACATCCACCAGAACTCAGACTTGTTTTGTCTTTAATGAGTTCCTTGTTGAAGAATTTGTAGGAACACACACAATGTAAGCCTCGATGACAACACCAGGGCTTCCAGAGGAAAGCCCGTCTGCCTTACCGTTAGACTGTGGTTTCACGGAGGAACTGGCCTGGTGCACTTCAATCTCCTCCATGGCATCGCTCATCAAATCTCGTAAAATCTGTTGATCTGCTTCAGGAAGTACTGGGCCTCGTGAGGACGACCGACACCGAAATCTACCTACAGTCACAGAAACTAATTAAAATAACTGAACTGCTC